CCACCAGCTTACGTGCAGCCCTGGCCTGGACATTGCTTGGCTCCATTAGTTGACATACATTGATACTATAAGCTGACTAACGTTAGTCTAATGTTATGTTTGACTCGTAAACGACCACAACATGAGTTAGCTCTCTGTGCAGTTTGTTCGTTCCGGGTTAGTAGCGGCTAGATAGCGGTGTTCTGCAGACGTAAACTAGCTACCATTCCATCCAACATTAAATGCTGACAAACGTTAACTAACACACAGCTGGCGCCGCTAGCTAGGTAGCTAACATTAACTACTAACCAACCAAGCATGAACAAACCGCACAAAGAGCTATAAGATAGTTGGCACTACCGAAGTGCACAGACCTCAAGCTGCACAACACACTAGGACAGTTCCTATTTATGAATATGCTTTTATTTTGAAGGAGAGGTAGCGCTGTTGACCGGAAGTTGTTGTTGCTATGGAAACAACGTGACGGAGAATAACGGAGAAAAGTAATATCTACATATAAAGACGGAGAAAGTAAACGATAAAGTTTATGGTTAAGTGTTAGCACAACCCGAACAAGCTCTTACGTTGATATTGGAGATTTCAATAAATTCAATTTGAAAGACCTAGGGCGAGATGTTTTTGTTTGGGGGATTTTTGCAGGGCTTCGTGCGCAGACCTGTGAGGAGGAGGTGGTAGCCGTTTCAGTCTCCATAGTGTTTAAAGTGCGATTGCGAACTGCTTGTTGTTGTTTTGGGTGACCCACGTGTGTGTGGCGATGCGTCGACGAGGAAATATGTCGTCGACGATATTTTGAAGTCGACGCATCGCTACACCACTAGGGTTAGTGATGCGTCATCAGGGGGATGGCAGTAGGGCTGCACAATACGGAACAAATATATTAAAGTGATTATTTTGTCTGATACGGTTCATCATGTTAGAGGGATTGATCCTTTTTTAAAACATTATTCTCATTATTATTATTATTAGACTGTTAGGACGCCGGGACCTCTGAAGCTCCACAACACTTTATTCAGATATTATTAGCTATTAAACGTTACCAAATATTGCACTTACTGCGATTTGGATATTGCACGATGGATATCATTTTGATTAATTGTGCCCTGTATCACAAACAAAGGGGCTTTGGCTCTTCGGTGGGGGCTGTCTTTGACTCTTAGATGACTGACACACTTATGCAATGTGTTAATGTTTATCAGCAAGGCATAATTAATGGCAGGTCAGTAGGCGGGTCTTGCTCTTAAATCTCTTTTTGATGTGTCTAAATTAACTGTTAAATCTCTCTCCACAGGTACATGGGCATCGGCCTGTCCGCTCAGGGTGTAAACATGAACAGACTCCCAGGTAAGACGACACTTTGTGTGTGCTTGCTTTCTCTATTTAGGTGTGGTGAGATAAATGTGTGTGTTTCTACAACAAGTTTCTCGCGGGGTCTTAAAAAGTCTTAAATATTATCAAAAAAAGAATAAAGGTCTTAAATATGATTTAGAGGGTCTTTAATATTATGGGATTTGAAAGGTACTTCTGTGTTGCGATCACATCTAAATTTTGGGGGAAATGTCCGGGCTGCAAAGTAGCCAGTACGGTAAGAGCCTTTCAGTTCCCCCCAACAATTTGTATTGAAATAAATGGAACCAGTAATCACTAACTTTTTTTCCCCTGGCCCCTTATCGGAGAACACCCAGCTAGTAACCTAGCAACCAAGTCAAAAACCTTGGTATCTTCAAATCTACTTACAAATAAATATGGGGAAGTGTAAGTTCAACCGTATTTGGTTGGAAAACATTGAATTGAGTGCTTGGTTGAAACCAGTGGAGGGAACGTGTTTGAAGCACGACGCACCTTTTGCAAAAGAAATTAGCGTTTGTTTTGCTAATGTAGCGTTTGCTCCCGCAACAACACCGGGGGACCTCCGGGCGACGTTTGGGTCTACGTCAACCCTTAAAGCGGAGGTGCTGTGGACGCTAAATACCAATCCTACGACAGCAACGATGAAAGATTGTAGCCAAGGCAGCAGAGCTCTGAATATAGCTCTTGTCACGCACACACACACACACACACACACACACACACACACACACACACACACACACACACACACACACACACAGAGTTCTGTGCTGTTATGTTCAGTCATCGTTCTCTCTCTATATATATATATATATATCAGAGATCATTTAAACTGTTAGAGTGGGTGTCAGTTTGTCTGTGAGCTTATTGTTTGGTACAGATTGGATGCACTGGGTGTAGGTGTGAGAGAGTTTCATTTCCATGAGTTATTTGTCGTTTATCTGAAGGCATATCCATGTTGTCAAATTGTTAGAGAGGCTGGTTCAGGATTTCTACATGTGTGACAATCCTAAAGAGTTCAGGAAGTTAATCTCTACTCCTAGCCATGGATCTAATTTAATCTAATCTAATGTGTTTTATAAACTTCTGAAAATGTTACTGAGTCCTGCACTTCATGTAATTGTGCACCAAATAAAATAAAAAACAGGTGAAAATTCAAGATGTTTTAACTTGCATTCCTTTCTTATGTGAAAGCTCATATTAAATACAAGTTGAGATGTAGAGGCAGAGTATGGAAGAGCAACATGAGAACATTTGACGCATATCGGGGCTATTTCTGAGTGTGTTTTTAAAGCAGTGCCTTAACCAGAGGGCCAGCATATCAAAACAGAAATACTAAAGTTACATGTGAATAGAATAAAGGCGATTGTAGCTGCGCAAACAAACTGAAAACTGTTTACCTAACTCTGTCTGAAGGAAACCAAATCACCTACCAGCGGCTGTAGAAACACATATTACCAGGTTATATTTGATATCCTGTTAAATCTGCCAAACGGGTGCAACAATGATGTAATGTACCATCATTTTCCTCTATCTGGCAGACAGTGCAGGCTGACATGAAGGAAGGTAGGTAGATGGATGGATAGATAGATACTTTAGAGTGATGCAGTGACGGGTCCTAAAACCCGGAAGTAAACTCCTTCCGGTTCCCTCGACAAAAAAGTAATTGGATTTCTCCATAGGATTTTGGAAAATAGTTTGAAATAAGGTCTGTGGTTGACACACATTTAAGAGAAGGATCACGTTTTGTTCAGTCGGATGATCTCCACATGTCTACCCTCCTTTTATAATTTTCGAATCATAAATCTAATCGATAGATTTATGATCGATAGATTTATGATTCGAAAAGGTAAGGAAGGTACCCATGCCCAGCTTACTTCCAGGTTTTAGTACCGCACCACTCTATTGATCCCAATTTTGGAAATTATTTCGTCACAGAAGCAGAGGTGTGTTCAGACATTAAAATATAATTAACAATTACAAATGAAATATATAAACAAAACAATATAAAATATTCTGGAAGTTAGTCATAATAATACATTGGCTGTGATTTATTTTAACCCTTGTTAATAAACTTTGATACTGGGTATTATTTAGTAACTTTAATGAGAACACAGATGGTCTTATTGGTCCCAAGCGCAGGAGTTTTTCCTCAGCACCTTTTCTCTGATATATTTGTCATTCTATGTGTCTGTTTTTGTTTTAAATTCACTCTCAGATTGGACTATTTGTTGCATATTTTGCACCTGCTTGCTCCGCACTCTTATTCTTCAAAAACATTCTCCTCCCTCAGGTTGGGATAAGCACTCGTACGGTTACCACGGAGACGACGGTCACTCCTTCTGCTCGTCCGGCACCGGGCAGCCCTACGGACCCACGTTTACAACGGGCGACGTGATTGGCTGCTGCGTAAACCTCATCAACAACACCTGCTTCTACACAAAGAACGGACACAGCCTAGGTAAGGAGCACAGAAACAAAGTTCAACAACTTCTGTTCCACTGTACAGTAATAATGTGATTTTTGTTTACATAAGCAACAAATGAGCTTTCCTGCTAAAGTCTCTTTCTAATCTCACGAAAGCTAGCGATCATCACCTGGGAGAATCAGGTCTCCAGACTAACTTTCTATATTAGTTACATTTTTGTGCCTTATAGCCTTTTTTACATTTTATTAAGACATTGTGCTTTTTTTTTCTTCACGAAACTGTGTCTCGGGCTGGGCGATTTGGCCTAAAAATAAAATCTCTATTTTTTTTTTTTTTCTAACTAATGGAACATTTTCGATTTAAACCTCGATTTTTTTCTGTTTTTTATGTAATATGTCACCGCATCTGTGATCGCCTGCCACCGGGGCCCTTTCTTGTCATAAGGAATGACTGTTGAAAATGCTGCTGCCAAGGTTACCTGCTTTTTTGCAGGCGCTTTGTGGCTTGAGCTTTGTGGCTTGAGCTAGCATCTGCATCTCTTACTCTGATCTGATCTGATCTGATCTGATCTCTTATCTCTGTCCACACACAGGCATGAAAAAAATCTTTCAAAGCTTCGCCCACTCACTTGAATCGGGTGACGTAGAAGATTTTTAATCTTCGCCGAACTGCATTGTGGGGAGCGGAGCATGGCTTTGCAAGCATCGTGAGCATCAAAAGTTGAGCAATGTTCAACTTTTGATGCTCCCGATGCTTTCGAAGCTGGCATCAGCCAATCAAATTCCGTTTATGCAAATCCCGCACTGCCAGCGCTAGCCAATCAAACCGCGTGTATGCAGATACCGCAGGTCTTTTCCATATGTCATAAAATGGAGGATAAATGAATCATCGCTGTAGGAAATGTCCCGGTCCTTTACGACTGCTCTCTGTTCACCTACCGGGACCTAAACCGGAGGAACCAGGCATGGAGGGAGGTGGCAGAGACAGTTGGTGAAACTGGTAGGTTTTCACCTGTTTGGGGATTTTATATCCAGTTTACTTCCTGTTTTTTTTTT